TGTACTGATGGGCACTTAGGCTGTTTCCAGATCTTAGCTATGGTGAATTGTGCTGCTATGAACATAGGGGTGCATAAATCCTTTCTGATTGGTGTTTCTGGTTTCTTGGGATATATTCCTAGAAGTGGAATCACAGGGTCAAAAGGGAGTTCCATTTGTAGCTTTTTGAGGAAACTCCATACTGTCTTCCAAAAACCACAATTTTTTTCAGTGGATACAATTTAATCTCAGTCACTGATGTTAGGGACTAAATAAGGTAAAGAACAATAGAATCCTATCCTTGATGCCCTGGCCTGTGTGGTTCAGTTGGTTGGAGCATTGTCCTATACACCAAAAGGTTGCAGGCTACATACCTAGGTTTCGAGTTCTATCCCTGGCCAGGGCACATAGGAAAGACAACCAATGGATGTTCTCTCCCACAATGTGTTTTTCTCTCTCTCTCTCTCCCTCTCTCTCTCTCTCTCTCTCTCTCTCTCTCTCAGTCTCTTTTTCTCTCTTTCTCCTCCTTCCTCTCTCTCTAAAATCAATGAGCATATCCTTGGGTGAAGACTTAAAAAAAAGACCATACAAGTCAGTTTAAGAGGTTTATTTCTAAAGAAACAACAATATAACCTGAAGCTAATATTTAAAAACTAAACTGTATCATACAAATAAGAATTATACCTATAATCACAGAAGTGTTTAAGATCAATCTATAATTAAATAGCTAACAAGAAGAGTGTTTACTATGTACTACTAGGCACTGTCCTAAATACATCCCACGAATTCAATCCTCAGAGCAATCTCATGTTTCTACTCACTGAAACAGAAGTAAAGAGAGGTGCTAGCATAAAACCATTTATGACCTCAACCTTAGAGAAAACTAGAATGAAAGAAGGGAGTTGATACAGAGTTTCAATTATAGAACACAAACAAACCAGATACCTACTTTCAGCAGCTGAGGCCTCAGAGCTGGAGCCAAGCCTCAGAGCTAAAGCTGGCCCAGAATATTTAAAAAAAAAAAAAGAAAGAAAGAAGGCCATTTCAAGAAAATGGAAAAGCAAAAACCAAAATATAAATATGACAAGTGTCCAGATAAAACCAAACAAAAGTTCCAAATTGCAGAAATTAGGGCTGGATAAATAGAATGGGATTGGATTATGAGAGGCTTTAAGTACCTAGCAAATGATGATAACTTTATAAAATAGCTAGAGCAAGCAAGCACCACTATAGGCACTTTATGTGCTAAAAGTGTCCTTTTAGAAATAACCTGGTGATGACTGACAGAGAAATGAAAAGCTCTGTCCGTTTCTAACATTTACATGCCAGCTCAATAAATTATCTTGTACCTGAGGAACCAGAGAGCACACACAGAAACAATTGCACCACCCTTCGCATCAACAGTCCATCCACAATGAACATGAAAATGGTAAATATAATTGCAGCATGCCCTGAATTATTTTCCCAATATACCTTCAGTGAAGTTAAAAGGTACAATCTAAACTATGTCAGTAAGAAGTGCTAGTCAAGTTATATAAGACTATTTTTGCTGTTCAGTACTATGTCAAAAGAATTTGGCCAAATTTGGCATAAGCATAAATTTTATAGTGTTTAGTGTTTACTTCAATAAAAGCAATATTACAAACAAATGAATTAACATAATATTTCAACACAGAGATTCCTTGTATTGCTTTAGAACTATTATACTATTTACCATGAGGTAATAAACATAATTTTTATAAACAGACATTATGTAAATGATATACTTTGAAATTAATGTCACATTTATTCATACACTATTTTAGAACTAGGTATTTATTACCCATACAATAAATTCTATAATCCATATCAAGCTTACAAAAAGATGCTATGGCAAACAAGTTCCTTTCTTTGTAATTAAATGAGCTCCTTCTAAAAAGAAGAAATGTGAGAAAAACATCTCAAGCTTGAAAAAACTAGCTTACTTACCAGTAACTTGAGTTATCCTATTGGGTCTTTTCCCTCACAGATCCACCTCTCTTGCCCTTCTGTCCAGCATGAGATTCTTCCTGATGGACAGCCACTGGAACTGAGGGGGCATGCAGTACAGATGTATATGTAAGAAAGTTGGGGGAAGGGGATTTGGAAGATGCTAGAGACATGCTTCAGTGCACTTGCTTACCTTCCTGAAATTGGAAATTTCAACGGTTCCTTGGTCCTCGAGGCATTCACAATAACTTCAAAGAATGTGGATCTGTGGAGATTACCCAATAGGAGAACTCCAGTTACTGGTAAGTGATCCAGCTTTTTCTTCTCTATCAGAATAAGAAGATTATTTCATTTTATTTGAGATTATTAATACATACAGAACTACAGAGAACGGGTTATAAATTCACCAGATAACTACATATGCATGCACCAAAGTAAATGCAGAAACTGCTAACCACAATGTCAACTAAAACTTCTGGCATTATTAGAAACACACGCAAAACAACACAAAAAACAGGCTTGATGGTTTCATTTTTAAAGTTCCACTATAATGGCAGTTATGTTTTAATATGCACATATATCAGTTACCCCACTATTCCATTTCACTGAAACAACACCATCATTTTTAATATTAGTACAAGGATAATTAGTTGATCAAAATCTGTCATTCCCTAACTAGTCATTGTCATTAACATTCACTGAATTTTGGTTTAGAAGCCACTACAGTGGATTAACAATATACAAGGCTTGAAATAAAAAGCATCAACACAATTCCCATTCGGCATTCAATAAGCATTTAAAATAATCATTTGCCACCTACAACAAATCAACAACACACACATAAAAGTATGCCAGGCCATGGACAAATAACAATGCTGATTTTAAATACTTGTACAAAGTAACATGATATTTTTTATTAACTGTTACACTTAAAATAATTGCCTAAAAATGGACGTGTCATTTTAAAAAAATCCAACTGTTTCTAACAAAAGGAAAAAAGGTCTACTAAATAGAACTTTATCTTCAAGCTCACATTAATACATCCTATTACCTTTAACTGAATACACATTAATCAGGTACCTATTCATTTTAATGTGATACAGCAGTGATGACTTCAAACACCAATTCTTGTTGAAGATACAGAGAGATGTTTCAATAATACACCTCCCTTTTACCATTATTTTACTAAATAACTATCCCCCCTACCCTTAAGAAACTTTGGTTCCATGGTTCTTCATTCTATGGAAACAAATTAAAGATAATGTATCCTTTTTCCTTTGTTTTAATCAAAAATAGGATAAAATGATGTATAAAATAGTTATTCAACAAAAAATTAAAATATAATTCTAATAAATATTTTACATTTCTATCTTGCTATAAGGTAACTAGAGGCCCAGTGCACGGATTCGTGCACTGGTGGGGTCCCACGGCGTGGCCTGCCGCTTGTGCCGGCCACTCCCACCTACCACTCCTATGGCCTCACTGTGCCTTCCACTGCCGCTGCCGCTGCCGCTGCTCCAATGCGGTCTCTGGGTTGTGGTGGCCAGCCGTGAGCTCTGTGTCTGCGCCCGTTGGGTCAGCTGAGCAGTGCTCCCACTGTGGGAGTATACTGACCACCAGGGCGCAGATCCTGCATTGAGCATCTGCCCCCTGGTGATCAGTGCATGTCATAGCGACTGATCGACCAGTCAAAAGGTGGACCAGTCGAATGGTCACTTAGGCTTTTATATATAGATATTGTATTTCATAAAGGCTAACAGCACACGTCAAGATTGTTTCTAGATTTCTACTTATTTGAAGATACAAATTGTCTTTGGCAAATTATTTTCACTTTTCTATAAATATGATTTTTAAAAATAACAGTCCTTAATGCACTCAATTTTTTTCAATTATCTTTATTGTTCAAAGTATTACATATGTCTCCCTTTTTCCTCCCATTGACTCCCTCCTCCCCACTCCCACCCCCTCCCCAGGCCTTCACCACACTATTTATTGTCTGTGTCCATGGGTTATGCATATAAATTCCTTGGTTAATCTCTTCGCACCCTGCCCCTTCCCTCTGAGAATCTTAAGCCTGTTGCATGCTTCCATGTCTCTGGATCTATTTTGTTCCCCATTTTATTTGGTTCATTAGATTCCACATATAAGTGAGATCATGTTGTATTTGTCTTTCTCTTACTAGCTTATTTCATTTAGCATAATACTTTCCAGGTCCCTCCATATTGTCTCAAAGGGTCAGAGATCCTTCTTTTTTTATAGCTGCACAGTATTTCACTGTGTAAATGTGCCATGGCGTTTTTATCCACTCATCTACTGATGGGCACTAGGGCTGTTTCCAGATCTTAGCTATTGTAAATAATGCTGCCATGAACATAGGGGTGCATGTATTTTTCTGACTGGTATTTCAGGCTTCTTAGGTTACATTCCTGGAAGTGGGATCATTGGATCAAATGGCAGTTCAATTTTTAATTTTTTAGGAAACTCCACAGTTTTCCATATTGGCAGCACTAGTCTGCATTTCTACCAGCAGTGTACTAGGGTTCCCTTTTCTCCACATCCTCACCAGCACTTGCTGTTTGTTGATGGTAGCCATTCAGACAGGTATGAGGTGATACCTCACTGTTAATTTACATCCCTCTGATGATTAGTGACTTTGAGCATTTTTTCATATGTCTCTTGGCCATTTTTATGTCTTCTTTGGAGAAGTATCTATTCAGGTCTTCTGCCTATTTTTCCAATTGGGATGTCTTCCTTTTATTGAGTTGTATGAGTACTTTATATATTATGGAAATTAACACCTTATCAGATGTATCATTGGCAAATATGTTCTCTCATACAGTGGGCTCCCTTTTCATTTTTAAATGACACATTCACCAAAACAGGGGCATTACACAGACGTTCATTTCTAACTGTAATAAAAGGATAAATACCAAAAAGGTCATCTAGTTAACTTTTCTAGTTAACTAAATAGAAATCTTGTTGACTTCTATTCCTTGAAGAGTGAGCAAGTACATGGCATAAAGGTCCTGTTTGGCCCTAGCCGGTTTGGCTCAGAGTATAGAGCACTGGCCTGCGGACCAAAGGGTCCCAGGTTCGATTCCAGTCAAGGACACATACCTTGGTTGCAGCCTCCTCCCTGGCCAGGGCCCGTGTGCAGGAGGCAACCAATTGATGTGTTTCTCTGACATCTGTTTCTCTCTGTCTTTCCCTCTCACTTTCCCTCTCTCTTAAAAAAGGTCAAAGGAAAAATACTGACTGAGGATTAACGGGAAAAGAAAAAGTCTTATGTGTTTGGATTGATAAAATAGACACAGGAACAATAATCCAAATATATTATCTTTATGATATTATCCATATGATGATATAAGCTAATATAAAAGATGTCATTGAGAGCTAAATAGCCCAGCCGGCATGGCTCAGTGGTTGAGCATCAACCTATGAACCAGGAGGCCACGGTTCAATTCACAGTCAGGGCACATGCTGGGTTGCAGGCTCCATCCCCAGTGTGGGGCATGCAGGAGGCAGTGGATCAATGATACTCTTTCATCATCGTCATTTCTCTCTCTCTCTCCCTTCCTCTCTGAAATCAATAAAAATATATATTTTTAAAAAGAACTAAATAATAATTTCTAAATTTTATTTACAGAAAATGCAGTCTCCATTAAACTCAGGTCTTATGAATTTAAAATACAATCAAGTACTTTTTTTAAGAAAATGTAAGTGAATTAAAAGGTCTTCAAAATATTTTAAGGCAACCAAAATGGTCACTTAGACACCAGTATTAAAAGCTATATTTGTCCTTGTTATCATGCCATAAGCTCAACTAAGATATAGATCTCATCAAAATAGCTTAGAAAAGAAATTCCAAAAATTAGGATGCTCTATTCAAAAGTATCCCGTGTAAGCTTTAATAGTAATAAAGCTCATCCACAAAAATGTACTCCTTAGTAATCATGAACCAAATCAAGCAATTCACTAATGAAAATCTATTCCATCAAATCAATCGGAACTTACGACAACACTGCTCAGGAAACAATGTGGTAGCAACTTTCACTTCGATTACTACCCACTGGTTTGAACATTATATTTTGCCAATAAATAACTTAAACTGCAACTGATTTTGATGATTCCAGATACATTATTTTCTAATTTTCATTACAATTTAAACATTTAATGTTGAGGATAAGTCCTGGACTTGGAATCCTGTTACAGTGTAATAAAATTTGATATTATACATATATTCACACATATATGAGACATTACTGAAGGGTTATATATAAATATGGAAGAATGTATCCTATCTAATAAAAGAGAAACATGGTAATTAGCGTACGACCGCTACCCTTCCCATTGGCTAAGCAGGGTGATATGCAAATTAACTGCCAGCCAAGATGGCGGCCGGCGGCCAGGCACCTTAAACTGAACATGAGGCTTGCTTGCTTCAGTGACAGAGGACTGCAATGTTCCCCGCCTGCCTTGCCAGCCTCTAAGCTTGCAGTCTGAAACATTGTAACAAATATAGAGGCTAAAAACCTCCAGAAACCAGCTTTCAGCCCACTGGGATCTCAGAGCTGGAGTTAATACAGAGTTTCGATTGTAAACCCAAACAAACCAGATAACTGTTTTCAGCAGCTGAGGCCTCAGAGCTGGAGCCAGAGCTAAAGCTGGCCCAGAATAAAAAAAAGAAAAAAGAAAAGAAAAAAGGAGCAGTTGGGAGCTTCAGTACCAGCCTGAAAACAGCCCTCAGCCCCTCACCCAGACTAGCCAAGAACCCCAGTGGGGACCCCCACCCTGAAGGGGGTGTGACCAGCTACAAACAGCCATCATCCCCTCATCCAGGCTGGCCAGGCACCCAAGCGGGACCCCCACCCTGATCCAGGACACC